GGCCCATCCAATATCACATTTTCACAATCCTTCCAAACCTTTGAAGTCAATTTTCTCTTCCTCACCTATGATGTTATGAGTCTTGTGACCCCTAAACTTGGAGTGGGTGTTGATTTAGAATCAATTTCAATTGGTGCATCACTTATAGGTTATGTAGCTGATGCAGATGGTTCACTTTCCATAGTTTTAGTTGCCTGAGACATTATATCAACCACTTACTTGGATAAAAAAATTTAGAAGTAATCAGTTTCAAGGTTCACTTTCAATGGATAATCAAACTGACAAATGAACATGATAAGGTGGGAATGAGAAGTGTCAATATAATTGAATAATCTAGATTGCTTCAAATGTTATCTGTCACATGAAAGTTTAAAAAAAAAAAAATTGGCTATTGCAGTTTGCGAGCTCTAAAATCTAACTCCCAAAATTTTGGGACTGATCAGTGATTAGCAACTGTGTGTATCAGAAATTTATAAAACATAAGCATCACCGTTAATAACTTAAATCATAGACTACATCAACCATCAGATCAAACAAAAACACAAAGATTTACAGAAATTAAAAACCCTAAAAATCAAGACCAATTATGATATCAGAACCACAAACATAGAGACATTATCATACGATTCATACATGATATCAATGAAATAACATTAAAGTATGAAGAAACAAAACAAGTCACGAGAGAGAAAGAATGAGTATGACGGCACTGGATTTTCGAACCCAGTGCGTCATGTGATTACCCGAAGATGTTCCATTAACGGATCTGAAATGCAGAAGTGAAAGACACGGCCAAGGTCTCTAGAGATATACATCATCCCTAAGACACAAGGGTGGCTTCCCGAGTAGTTCTAAGACTGAACGGAAGTGAGAAGAAAATAAGGGTTTTGAAACCTTATAAGAAATGGACATAGGGTACAAATGTCATTTCATAGAGAAATGGATGCTACCAAGCATACCATTGGAAATACAACAAAATTTTAATTATGTTAGACTCAAGAATCACTTGATTTAGAGTCTGGATGGAAAAGATATGAAAATAAGAACAAAACAGCATTCTTCGATTTAGAGATACCGTGACCTTATCTCACTAAAACTGGTATAACTCTCAATACGTTTGGAGTTTTTGAGTTTCGTTAGTATCATTGGAAAGGTAACTTCAAGCTCTTAAGTTTAGGGTCAAGAATGACCAGAGTTAGATCAGAAACGAAGGGGATATGACCCTCTGAAGTTGACCCAAGAAATCTGTCCAAGAAGCTGAAAGGAAACCAAGCTCTAAAGAGGATCAGCCAGCTAATGCACAGTACCAAACAGTAGAAACTCAATCATCAGCCAGCTGATGAACAGTACCAGCTGACCGAAACACCACTTTTCACTTGCAAACCTATTGGAATTGGTCTCGAACAGTCATTAGTCGGCTGATGACTGCTATCAGCCAACCAATGGACCTGGTAGCAATAGAAAAAGCTGTTGCAATCCATGGGGAAGGTGTTTGGCTTAATCCTAAAGCTATACATGCTTCCCATTTGATCCGGACAAGTTTCAAAATATTCCCTAGCCTCATGCAAGCATCTAAAACATGCTAAATCAAAATGAAGCTTTAAATGATACCCCAATGCATGAATTTTGCTTAAATTTTCATAAATCATCCAAAAATAGTTCAAAAGTTGGAACTTAAGAGTTTTGTGAAATGTAAACATACATGCATACGTAAAATGAATAAGTAGACGCGGTACAACAGCTTACGGCCTCATAGCATGTCATATGTAGAAAATGCCCCTTCAACCCTTGAAATCCCATATATTCCATAAACAAGCTATGAAGTTAAACTAGCATACATGTCATATAAGTTTCTTTGGCCCTTGGCCTCATTACATATACGTCCTAAGAGTAACAAAAGGTGCATTTAAGTGCACATTACATAACTTAGACAATAAATACAAGTTTTTATACAATACACCAAAAAGGATCATGATATGCTAACAAGTGCATATTCAATGTCACCAAAAATACTCCAAGAATTCTAACAAGTCTAAGAGTGTTGTGCATCCCACAATAAAACTTCTTTACCTAAAAAACACCGGGTAACTTTGGGGTGAGTAAACAAGTTTACTCGTAGGGAATGAGCATGCATAAGTTTAATTTATTACAAAGTTTGCAATTCAATAGAATTAAGTCCATGCTATTAAAATGACATTGGAACTTTTAACATAGCACAATGAGATACAATATCACAAGGTTATCAAGTTTGGAAATTAAAGAGTGAAATCAAAATAAGGTGGATACTTAGATAACGCCCGAACTAAAACCGTACTCTTGGGATCACTTTAGGGCTATTAACCCATGGGTACCTTCCCCTAGTGCGCACTATAGTATAGGGAGCTCTCTATCTCCCGTACCAAAATCAAGTCCTAGCCATGTCAAGTTCTTAATGATATCCCAAGTTTCCAAAATCAACAAGTAAAGCAACAAGTCATGATATGTGATAAAACACAATAAGTTCCATAAATTACATGACTAAATCATTAGATCAATATGATAAAAATTAAGTAGACCAACTAGGTAATTTCTCTAGATTTCAAGAGTTGTCCAAATGATTCCAATTTAATATATAACAAAGAGTAAGTCATGGCTATGCCACATATCAAGTCTAAAATGGAATTCAAACATGGTACAAATAATTAGAATTTAAATCAACTTAAATTAATTAATCCTCTAGATTTAAAAACTCATTTAAATTATACCAAATTAATACACAACAAAGATTAAGTCATGGCCATGCCACATATCAAGTCTAGAATGAGTTATATACAAGTTACAATTAATCATTAATTTCTCATTTCAATACAAGACATGCATACAACTTAATATCACTACAAAAGCAATTAATTCACCTAGATAATAAACTAGAACACCCCCTACCTCAATAGAGAATTGTATCTCTATAATCCAAGGCAACCAAGTTTAAAAATGGAAAATCAAACAAGGGTTTTATAGAGGATAGTGAGAGGAAACTAAAGTATTCCAAGCTTAAAGGTCTTAGGTGAGTGGAAGGGCACCAAAATGAAGCTTAAAACCTTGAATCACGCTTTGCTCCAATGGTGGCCAAGTTAGGGTTTGAGAGGAAAGAGATGAAATGAAAAAAAAAAAAAAAAATGAAATAAGTTAAATGTGGTGGGATTCTCCACTCACTAAGTGCTCTTGCACTACCTCTCACACACACACTTGCAAGACTAAAGGTGAGACCTACACTTGTCATGAATCTAAGTAAACTTCCAAGATTTAAAATCAAGCCTACATTTGTCAACCATCCATGCCAAAAAGTGCTCCTATCCTAGGCCAATAAATGGGTGAATCTCCACCCTCCATGTGTCATCAAACAAGTCTTCCAAGTGGTTCCACCATAAGATCAACAAGTGGCACCATGAAAGTATGACATTTGTCACATTTTATAGAAATTGCAAAAAGTTCATTTTTAAAAATATCTTCCAAATTAAATTGCAAACGGGGTCCCTTAGACGAAAAATAATTACTTTGCATAATTACACTAAAACCCCAAAAGTTAAGAAAATTACCAAAAAGTTATGCATCCATGCCCTTTACAAGAAAAGTAAACATTTAACATACTTGTCTACAAAAGTAAAAACGTAGATATCATGGAAATTAAATATCATAGATGTATGCATAGCCGGAGTCAAATCCGAACGCAAAAAGTAAGGTTATGCAAGTTAAAATGAAAAATGAAAAAAGGACAAAACAGGGAAAAAGACGAAAAAAGAAAATTACCGAAAAAGAAAGGAAGGAAAATGACCGGATCATTACAGTGAGAGTGAGAGAAGGACGGACTCATTGATAGAGAGAAACAAAGCATGCGTAAGTGCGTGGACGATGGATCTCTCTACCCGAATCATCAATATCTGTCCGATCTCCACCTGAAAGGCATGATAAATGGTGTTCGATGAGGTTTTGGTGACTGGTGAGGGAGAGATGGATAGAGGGCCTCGAGGGTTAGGTTTTTGCCTTAATGTGCCGCTCGACTCTTTGTGGTATCAGATTTAGGAGTTCACGCAAGTAATACTGGGGTTAGTTGTACACTTGCAGTCTTGTACGTTATATTATATATATTAAACATAAGTTATTAATATTATAATATATATATATATAGTTATATGTTTAGCTAGGCAGGACAGGACTGGGTGGATATGAATCAAAACCCGTCCTAGCCTCGTGACCCGCGACGAGTTAAAAAAATGTATCCACACCCACCCGAATGACATAAAAGTTGTTCCCATGTCCGTTTTTGACGAAGCAGTAAAAATTGCCACCCCTACAACGGGTAGGGGCAAAGGCCTCACCTTTTGGTTGGTCCTCAACTCTTGACTATTTAATATTGCAGTGCGAATTTTGTTAAGTCCGCTTTGGCCTATGGGCTACCATATGTGGGCCGTGGGGAATGCCCCGTGTATATGAGAAATTATTGCATAATTTTGGAATCAGACAATTATGTGTTGATACATAAGTAAACGTGTCAGTTTTATATCAATATCAACTCACTTTTTACTTATATATCAGCACGTGGTTGGTCGGATTCAATGGTCCCTAGACCATGTAATAATTTCTTAGTTCCAAGACCACTGCGAATACTTCAACTTTTTGCTTGGTCGAGAAATTATTACATAGTTGCGAGACCAATGCCAATACTTCCACTTTTTGCTTGCATGTGTGATTGGTCAGACCAATAGTTGTGGAGCCATACAATGATTTCTCCCATTATATAGTGGAAATTTATTTATTTATTTATTTTCTGTACTTACTACTTTGCTTTTATTTTCGAAAAGCCATTACAAAGTCTGCAGCAAACGAAGATTGATGATGATGATTATCTAGGCAAACATGCAGTTGAGTAGAGACACAAAGTTGGTAGTACAAGAAATGAAAGAAAAAGAAATTAATACGAAGTAAAACGTACACATGGAATAAAGTAAACTAAATTAAAATAATTAACGATTAATGAGAGCCAATTGTTGAACATTGATTGGGTAGCAATCGTTAGGTGGACCAGAATACGCCCTTTGAGCAAGGATGGCATTGGCAGCTTGAGTTGGATGAAAGGCATCCCAAAACACATACTGATTCCTATTAGGGCATGGAAATGCATAGGGAAGACATGTAATCTGTCCTTGGTTCCTCCCTATTCCACAGCAACCTCTGTCCACTACGTTGAACCCTACCAATCAATTAATTAATAATCAATTTCCCAAAATAAATAAATAAATTAAATTAAATTAAATTAAATTAATCAATTAACTAATCATATCATAGTATTATATATGGTTAAATAAAACATCATTATTTCACGGCACTTTTTCTGATTTTTATTTATTTATTTGTTATTTTTCTGTTTTTTTCTCGGACCACTCTCAGCCTGTCGGTGATGTTTGGTACAAGAGGCCGCAAGGTAATCTCCAAATATATGCACATCACCCACAAATTACATGTACTACCTTTACGTCAATTTTGATTTGTATCCACTGAGTCACTCAGTAGCCTGAATCTCTTCTAACTCCTCATAGTTACTTAAATTAAAAGCATCCCTATGTTAAAACATTAAAATATACACAGTCAGTCACTTATAATGTGTAATTTTTTATTTATTTTTTATATCTCCAGTAATATATTATAAGATATCTTGTCATCAATGTATAAAATTGTTACTTATTTTACACAATTCTTTCACACAACCTAAATGAAGTAAGTTTGTAAAAATTATATGGAATCTTGTTATGACACGTGAATAGTTGTTGTTGAGAGATAAAAATAATATACACTACAAAGTATAATAAGTAAATACTTTTTTTGTGTAAAATATACACTGCCAAGTATAATGAGTAAATATTTTTTTTGTGTAAAATATACACTGCCAAGTATAATGAGTAAATATTTTTTTTGTATAAAATATACATTGCCAAATATAATGGGTAAATTTTTTTTTTTTTTTTCTAACAATATGTTAAGATATATAGTCACGTCACTAATGTGTAAAATTATTGTGTATTTTACACAACTTTTTTATACAATCACATCAACATATTTCATTTTTACTTCCTCTTTTTCATTCCATTAAAGAATCGTCTCTATATTAGGTAAGTTTCTAAAAATTATGTAGGTCCTAATATGACAGATAAAATTAATTAAAGACGAGTAGTCCAAAATTTTTATGTAAATACACATCAAATTTACACAACAGCTGCCAATTAATTATTAGTAATAGTAGCATATATATATATATGTGTGTGTGTGTGTGTGTGTGTGTGTGTGTGATAAAAACAATTAATTTTAACATACCATAGACAGCGGGGTTGTTTAGGATGTCACCAAAAATAGCATATGTATTGCCATACACAAATATGGCACCAGGATGGGTGCCGTTGTTGAGTATGGTAACGAGTGATCTGAGCCCTTCGTTGAAGGTACCAAGCATCTGATTCACATAGTCAACGCACCTTCCTGGTGGAGCCTGACCTGTGGCTAACTGGTTCGGAATGCATCCAAGCGGTCCAATTCCAGCCAGCACAAATTTCCTAAGTCCAACACTGTATAGTGCCTGCAACAATAGATATATATATATATATATATATATATATATATTGTAAAAATGAATTAAGAATTAGAAAATTAATTAACATATATATATATATATATATATATATATATATATATATATATATATATACCACAATTTGACGTGCATAATGATTGAGGAGAAGGTTGGCGAATTGTGGTGGACTGTAATTATATCTAGAAGGGTAGATGGAAGGCAAGAGATAGTTGTTAATGTAGTCATTGCTTCCAAACACCATCACTGCAATGGATTTGGCCAGGTATTGACTTAGGTTACTTGCACCTATCAACGTCCTTAGTTGACTCAATGTACTCTCAAAATTCACCACCTGCTGGTTCAAGCTGAATCGATCTCCCTATACATATATATATATATAAGCCATTGGCATCCATCAATATATTAATATGTAGTATAAGATAGATTGATCATTAATATATATATATATATATATATATATATATATTAGTGACAAATTAAATAATACATAGTGCTGGCCAGTTTCATCGAGAATGCCAGCAGCTGCAGAAGCATAATTGACTCCCCCAAGAATTCTGTCTCCGTTGGTGTTGGGGTCTGCAAAGGCTGGAGGATATGGAACTCTCAGCATCTCTCCTGTGAAGTACTCAAACCGGCAATAAAATAATAATAAATTTAAATTGTAATATTTTAAGAAGAAAATGGACAGTCCTAATTACCCAAAATAAAAAATAATTAAGGAATGAAAATGAAGTTAATAATTACCAATAAAATCAGCAAATGTTTTTCCATTACAAAATCTGCCAGAAGGGCCTCTATTGTAGTCACAGCCATAAGGATAGTAATTAGACTTGGCAATGGAGTTGAGGTAGTTGTTATTGCCATCATCAACCAGTGAATCCCCAAAGACATACATTGCACTAACCTGTGACCCTCCCACTACCAATATCACATCATTTGACCATCCCAACATCAACAACAATACACCCATCAACCATGACCAACTCTCAATACTATTATTGCCCTTCATTTCTTTTTCTTTTCTTTCTTTTTTATTTATTTTTTATTTATTTTTTATGTCTCTCTCTCTCATGTTGGTTTTAAGGCAATTTAAAGGTGGTGAGATGGAGATGGAACCCACCCTTAATTGGTACAACATATTATCCATTTAAATGAAACGGCTAGTTCGTATTAAATTGTGCCTTTTCTCTCCTTTTTCCTTGTTTTAAGATGTACTTTTTAACTTCCAATCTGTTGCAATTGCTTTCCTCATTTTCTTAATCAGCCTCTGTTTTTTTGTCCCTTTCGTCACGAGTGTTTGCAATGCATACTGAAAGGAGGTTCCTTGTATACTTTTTTATTTTTTTTATTTTTTATTTAACAAGAAGAGCATTCACACACCTACCAACTTTATATCATGAGAGTTGAACATTCAATCTTCTATTTGGAAGATAAGTAAGTATCACTAAGCTGCATTCCTCCGTGCATATTACCCTTGGTTCACCCGCTCCTCCCTTTAGATACTCCAGCCTCTTCTCCGTTGCCGTGACAAATCCGGCAGGGTAGAACATAGACCCACCATGTACTGAACATAGACCCTTGGTTCACCAAGACTGAACAATTTTTCCTAATTTTTTTAAAATTTATTCACTGCCATAAAGTGGTCCATCTCTCTACGTAGCTTCCCAAACCGTTGCTAAATTCATATTTTTGGAAGGATTATTCACTTTCCTAACATGTATTACAAGAAACCCTCTATCTACAACCTTTCCTTACATGCATTGCAATAAACCCTCCTCTATATATAAAGTAATGAAATCCACACGCATAACGACGCATTCAAAGTGGATCCATGTAATTCAACTTGAATATTAAAAATATAGATAGAGAAAAATACTTGGTGCTTGTAGTTGTAAGTTGAAAGAGATATGATGGGATGGAAGTGAGGCGAATGATGGTATAGATTGATGTATTTATAGACGAGAAAAGAAAGGTTAAAAAAAAAAAAAAAAAAAAAAAAAAAAATTATTTAAAAAATATATATATTTTATAAAAATAAATTTAATTAATTTTTGGTCCAATATAGCAGTAAAGGCACTGTTTGTGCCAACCAAATAATGCATTAATGGCTATAATAGCATAATAAGTGCAGAAAAGGTACAATATATATATATATATATATATATATATATTGAATTTCTCCTCTTTTTTTATTTTTTTACCCAAGAAAGTCTTTAAGGCACTGTTTGTGTAAGCCAAACAGTGCGTTAACGGCTCTGTTGGTTCAATTACGTTAAGGAAAAAAAAAAAAAAAAAAAAGATTCCAAAAAAAGTGATTTCTGTCGATTGTTTTACCCAAACACGTCCTTATAACCCATATCTGGGTAGTTATAGTAGTTGGGTTGATTTTTAAAAAAACTATTGCAGGCCGGCCTGCATACACTGGCCAAGAATTACCAAATGGGTCCATATTTGGCAACCCACAAGGAGTAATTGGGTTGCCATTTTGGGCCTAAATCGCCGAATTGGAGTAGCACTGGATTTGGGCGATTTGGGCCCAAAATGGCGAATTGGAGTAACACTTGGAGATGATGAGGATGATTAAAATTTATTGAAAATTCTACCAAAATAAATTTGTTTGTATTTACCAAATGGTTTTGTTTGAAAAGTTTTAAAAGGGAGTTTGCACTACTTTGGCACAAGAAAAAAGTAATGAACTTGTGTCAGATACATTTTGCGCATCAGATTGTCTCATTGGAGTGATAATTTGGCACTATTTCATTTTATTTCCATAATGTGAATGTGAACAGAATGAGCCTTAGTGATGATCCACATTCAGTCTTTCGATAATGACAGTGATGATCATAGAGATGATGATGGAGATCGGACTACTTCAGTGAGTAGTCACAGATGGAGGTGACTCCAGCTCTGGTGAGGAGGCTAGCTGTGGAGATGAGGCTGCTAGAGTTGATCACAGAGGAGGAAAGGGATAATGTCTCCGATTATGATCCAAAGGCTGAGGAGCGAGAGTTGAGAGATTTGAGACATTTTACACATTCAATATTATTTATATTGCCAACACGAGGTGCCGCCTGACATATATTAACTTCTCCCTCCTCGACTTTGCAGAATAAGAAGACACTCAAAGAATGAGTGAAACACTGGACGTGCCCTCTGACATATATTAACACCGAAGAGCTGACCCTGAAAAAATATTAGTGTATGAACTTTATGGAGCACAGTAAATAAATCCTCTTTGAAAAAATAGATTGTGGAGGGAAATTCTCCCACCATTCATAGCATGCCACGTGTCCACAAAACAACAAAGGCCCAGCATGCGAATGGTTAGCCCAGAAGACCAATGCAGCCAAAATCCCATTAGAGGAGACACCCAAGAACAACAAACCAGCTCAAGCGAAGGAAGCCCAGCCTAATCTCGTTCAAAACATCCCATAACGTCTGTAATAAAGAGTGAGTGCATGAAAATAGGGCCCATGAATGCCCACGCAAAAAACTGTCAATAACAGCCCTAAGAAAATCTCTGTATACAGATATAAATAAGAGATCAATGAGAAGGAAAGGATCATCAATTTCCAACAATTTGATTTTCTTTGTCTACATTATTTCAATTAAGTGATATTATCTTTGCTATTATTTTTATTTTTCTTAAGTGTTTCTGGTGACAAATTTTGCACCTATACTTTGGCGCCTTCTGTAGGAAGCTTTATAAAAAGCCTTTCACTATTTCTTTCATGCGACATCAATCCGGAATGGCAACAGGATTAGATGCAGAATAGGTACAGCAACAAGAAATCATGCAAAAAATGCGCGAGGAGATGCAAACACAGTTTAACATCCTGCAGCAAGCCAATGAGGCTAGCACCAAGCAAATCAATGCGTTCCTCGGTAGCAACTCAATATGCAACATGACGCTCTGGACCGGAACGACGGTGACGAGACAATAAGTCAATCCTGCGTCATGGCAGACTCCACATTGGGAGGACCACGAGCCACAAGGACTCCAGCCATGGAAGATAATGTTGAGTCATGAAGAAAGGGTACTTGGGTCCCAGGGAAGTTGACGAGCTCATCAAAGGGCTGAAGGCCCAAACGCCAGAAGACATGACACGAAAATTTACTGCCTCTATAGTCAAAACTCCCTTCACGGATGAAATAGAACAGGTCGAAAAACCCAAGAAGTTCACAATGCCAAAATTCATCAAGTTTAATGAGACTGGTGATCCTCTCCGCATCTAGATCATTACAGCTAGGAAATAACTTTGGAAGCACAAAATGACCTGTTCATGTGCAAGATCTTTCCATCCAGCCTAATAGGGGTAGCACTGGAATGGTTCAAAAACCGACCACAAAAATCAATCTCAAACTTCAAGACGTTGTGTACGGCATTCCTAGCCTAGTATTGCGGAAACAAGAAACAGAAGAAAACCATCTCCAGTCTCTTCACAATTCGATAGACGAAAGGGGAAGGCTCCTAGACCTTCCTCACTTGCTTCAACATGGAGTCTTCAGGTATTCCAAACTGCAACTAAGCTACAGCTATAGAGGCATTCAAGATAGCCATGATACAAGGCACACATTTTCATTCCTCGCTAGTGAAGAAAACTCCAACAGATATGTCAAAATTGAATATAAGGGCACAAAATTATATCAGACTTGAATAGAACAAAATGACAAGGCAACAGAGGGCAACGTTAGTTACAGTGGAAAGTAGACCGAGGAAGCAGTCGAGCACCTCAAGAACTCAGCGAGAACCCCCGATTATCGAAGGAAGAGCTCCTGAGAATAGTTCATGAACTGCAAAAAAAGGTTACACCCCTCAAAATCAACACTGGCAAAATTGTACCTGGAGATAAGGGGCAGGAAAATATTCCAAATCCCTCCACCAATCAGACAATCGATGGACCAAAGGGATCAGAGTAAGCATTGTGCTTTCCATAATGATTTTAGGCACCTAACTAATGATTACAGGAGTCTGAGAAGGTAGGTAGAAGCCTTGATAGCCAAGGGCGAGTTGGCCAAATACCACACCGACCCAGACCATCAGAGGCAACCCGAGCAGACTAGACCAACCCCAAAGGCTGCAACTGATAATTAGCCCATTCGGGTAATTAACATTATTCCCGGCTGTCCAGAAGAGGATAAGCAGCCAGAAAATTCCTACAAGATACAACTCAAGCAAGCTCACAAACTACATAAAATTAGGGAAGTTAATACAATCGAGTACAGGTTAAGCTCGACCCAAATTTCCTTCTATGAAGAAGACTTCAAGAGAGTACATCATCCACATAAGGATCCTCTGGTGATAAGTCTCCTAGTAGCAAACTGTTTAGTCAAACGTGTCCTTGTCGCGCCCGGATTTTCCCCACCCATTCTAAAAGGGTTATACTAAACACTTATGGGTCAGAAAAGGGGTTTAATGTGACGGAGTGACTATGGTCAAATTATTATTTATTTTGGAGTAAGTTTAATTTATTAATATTCGGAGTCGCCACCTAGCATAGGATTATGGTGTGTTAGGTCACCTATAGTGTCTAGAGACTTTCAAAAAATGGATAACTACATGGACACATGAGAGGTCTAATATGGTCCTTAATGTATTTGACATCCATTTAGTCTACGAAACCAAATTAATGGGCTCAGGGGTTTGGTTATGCATGGGGAAGGTGTTAGGCACCCCACGACACCCGTGGAACACGATTACCTTATTTCTATATTGCATTCCTAAAGATAAATATGTATAATTTTAATGTTTATGCTTTATTCAATAATGGTTTATAAGCTTCATCTTTATTATAGGAAAATAAGGTTAATGTTTTAATAGCTTGTGAAATATATATTTAAACATATGAGTTTGATAAAAGAATATATATTTTAAATATTGATGTGACCGAACCTAGGAGTGACCTGTTAGGATATGTGTGCCCTAGCATAGCAAATTCTTATTTTGGATTGTAAAAGTCATGGTTCTTTATTTGAATATTATTATTAAAGCATTATATAATTGGTGAATGGAATATTGTGACGGCCCTGGTTTTTCAACCCGGTGCGTCAGTGATGAACCGAAAGATGACCCGATAACGGATCCGAAGTGCGGAAGCAAAAGACAAAACAACGGTCTCTAGAGATACAACATGGCTCTAAGACACCGTTATGACCCTCAACGAGGTCACGGAATCCAAGAGAATTAAATAGGGAAGCAACGTTTCAAAAACGAACAAGATTGAACCTAGGGGAAAAATCATCATTTCTAGCTTAAAAGTGGGTGCCACTGAGCATACCATTGGAAAGACAACGAAAAATCAATGAACTTAGACTCAAAAATTGCTTGATTCGGAGTCCGAATGAAGAAGATATGGCTAACGGAAGAAAAAGGGGCAAACGGTCCAAAAGAGGCAACCCATTAACATCTAACCGGTTAGAAGGCCAAAAACAGTGACAAAAATGCTGCCCACACTCATCTAACCGGTTACGGAGCCCCATCTAAACGTTTAGATGTGAAGGGACAACAAGGGTGCGACCCAAAAACCTGGCAGCAAGGGTTTTTCCAGAAAAAATGGAAATTTAAGGGCCTAG